CTTCCTTTTGATCTTTCTTTGAGTAGATGTATTTATATTAAGTTTTCTCTTTTAAATATATTGATTTATTTATACTGTTTCATAATGTGTTGATTTGATTTTTAAGGTTTTTTAAATCTGGTATCCCTGGTATCCCTGGTATCCCTGGTATCCCTGGTATCCCTGGTATCCCTGGTATCCCTGGTATCACTGGTATCCCTGTTTCATTTTCAATTAATGTAGTTTGCATTGATTAATNCCCCCCCTCCTCCCACTCTTAAATGGATGAATGTAAAGGATGAATTTAGAGGATGAATTTATAGCATGAATGTATAGAGGATGAATGTAGAGTATGAATGTAGAGGATGTATGTATAGGATGAATTTAGAGGATGAATGTAGAGGATGAATGTAGAGGATGAATGTAGAGGATGAATGTAGAGGATGAATGTAGAGGATAAATGTAGGGGATGAATGTAAAGGATGAATGTAGAGGATGAATGTAGAGGAATAATGTAGAGTATAAATGTAGTGGATGAATGTATAGGATGAATGTAGAGGACGAATGTAGAGGACGAATGTAGAGGATAAATGTAGAGGATAAATGTAGAGGATGAATGTAAAGGATGAATGTAGAGGATGATTGTATAGGATGAATGAAGAGGACGTATGTAGAGGATAAATATAGAGGATGAATGTAGAGGATAAATGTAGATGATGAATGGAGATGATGAATGTAAAGGATGAATGTAGTGGATGAATGCAGAGGATAAATGTAAAGGATGAATGTAGAGGATAAATGTAAAGGATGAATGTAAAGGATGAATGTAAAGGATAATAAATTTAGAGGATGAATGTAGAGGATAAGTGTAGAGGATAAATGTAGAGGATAAATGTAGCGGATAAATGTAGAGGAGGAATGTAGAGGATAAATGTAAAGAATAAATGTAGAGGATGAATGTAGAGGGTGAATGTAGATGATGAATGTAAAGGATGAATGTAGAGGATAAATGTAGAGGATAAATGTAGAGGATAAATGTAGAGGATAAATGTAGAGGATAAATGTAGAGGATGAATGTGGAGGATGAATGTAGAGGATAAATGTAGAGGATGAATGTAGAGGATGAATGTAGAGGATGAATGAAGAGGATGAATGTAGAGGATAAATGTAGAGAATAAATGTAGAGGATGAATGTAAAGGATGAATGTAGAGGATGAATGTAGATGATGAGTGTAAAGGATGAATGTAGATGATAAATGTAGAGGATAAATGTAAAGAATAAATGTAGAGGAAAAATGTAGAGGATAAATGTAGAGGATAAATGTAGATGATAAATGTAGAGGATAAATGTAAAGAATAAATGTAGAGGATAAATGTAGAGGATAAATGTAGAGGATAAATGTAGATGATAAATGTAGAGGATAAATGTAAAGAATAAATAAATGTAGAGGATAAATGTAGAGGATAAATGTAGAGGATAAATGTAGAGGATAAATGCAGAGGATAAATGTAGAGGATAGATGTAGAGGATGAATGTAGAAGATGAATGTAGAGGATAAATGTAGAGGATGAATGTAGAGGATGAATGTAGAGGATGAATGTAGAGGATGAATGAAGAGGATGAATGTAGAGGATGAATGTAGAGGATGAATGTAGAGGTTGAATGTAGAGGATGAATGTAGAGGATAAATGTAGAGGATGAATGACTAGGATAAATGTAGAGGATGAATGTAGAGGATGAATGTAGAGTATGAATGTAGAGTATGAATGTAGAGTATGAATGTAGAGGATAAATGTAGAGTATATATGTAGAGGGCGAATGTAGAGGACAAATGTAGAGGACAAATGTAGAGGATAAATGTAGAGGATGAATGTAAAGGATAAATGTAAAGGGTGAATGTAGAGGATGAATGTAGAGGATAATTGTAGAGGATGAATGTAGAGGATGAATGTAGAAGATAAATGTAGAGGATGAATGTAGAGTATGAATGTAGAGGATGAATATAGAGGATAAATGTAGAGGATGAATGTAGATGATGAATGTAGAGGATGAATGTAGAGTATGAATGTAGAGGATGAATGTAGATGATGAATGTAGAGAATAAATGTAGAGGATGAATGTAGAGGATAAATGTAGAGAATAAATGTAAAGAATAAATGTATTCAAATTGATGAATTGTTGCAAACATTAAAACTAGTATTTGGCTGGATTTTGCATAGTTCATAAAAAGTAAAAGATAACAAGTTATCAATAATATAGAGTGCCAATAAATATTTGTTTACATGTCTGTTGTGCAGATTATAAGACTAAATATGCAAAATATCACGAATATTCAAAAAATATTTTTGTTTAAGTTTAAACACAGATGAACAAATTTTAATACAGCGGCATCTTAAAAATTGCACTCGAATTGAATTTTTTTCGAAGCTTTTTATTGAAAAATGTAGTGTTATAGTTTATTCTTTAGGTTTAGAAGATGATTGAGGGTTTAAAATAATAAATGATTAACGGTTAAAGGCTGAGTTTTGAGGTGTGTTAGATACTGAGTTTAAGCGTTTAAATGGCTGAGGATTAGAAATTGATGGCTGTGTCTTGAGAGTTCAAAAGGCATGAGTATTAAAAGATGAGGCAGGATTAGAAGGGTAGAAGGGTGGGGGTAGAAGGGTAGAAGGGTAGACAGGTAGACGGGTAGAAGGGTAGAAGGGTAGAAGGGTAGACGGGTAGAGGGGTAGACGGGTAGAAGGGTAGAAAGGTAGAAGGGAATAAGGGTAGAAGGGTAGAAGGTTGTACTCTAGAGAAAGTTGGTTAACTTTCAACTGAAGAAAATGCAACCGTAAACTGCTTGTCATTATATGCGTTTTTAACACTATGGAAAATATTTGCGGTATTCTAAAATGTGTGCATCAACTATAAACCAATTCTAACACTCTCATTTATCTCATTTACCTCTTACGTGAAAATAATTTGGTATTAATTTCCTGTTAATAATTTAAATAATGGGGGGGATGAAGATCAAAATAACCCCAACCCCTCCAACCATGCCCCCTCTCTTTTTTTTTATTAATTGCAGCAATTTCAAATATTTACTATCGTGAATTAGCAATTCTGTTTTCAGCCACCACATCTTAACCAATCTATTGTTCCTTTATTATCTTCACCTCTACCTCAACCTATGGTTGGAAGTAACAGAGATTTCAAAAAGTCTTCAATATTAGACCTCCCTTTGTTTTCTAATGTCAAAATACAAGAGAGCTTTTCTCTGAATAAAATGTATGCCTATTGTAAACTATAATATTTTTCAATTTTATAATATGTGACTCACAATTATATTTTCAAAATTTACGTTGTACATTGTTGAAACCGGAAATATATTGTCAGACATAAAAATTAGTTTTTATAGTGTCATTCAGTTAAACTGTACAGTGTAACACNCCTTCTGCAATTTTAGCCATTTAAGTCATTTCCTGTTTTTGGGCGTTATATATTTACTGTAATTGACGCTTTTAATTTATCTACGTCGAAACCGATTCTAAAGCTTTTGATATTATAGAAATATTTGCATGGGACAAAAGAGTATAGAGGTATCGATAGGCGATCATAGTGTGAGTAACACGAACAGTCTTTTGGAAAAAATACATTTTCTTGAAAAAAATCGTTTGTTCCTGGGGAAAATTTACATATTTAAAAAGACTGTAATCATAATTTCAAGTGACCATCCATGCAAACACGGCAATGCCAAATTCACAACGGTACCCTTAATTAAGCTTTGTCTTGTGACTTGCGCATTTCTAATACATAGTCTGAAATCTGAGAATCTCAGGCGTTGAAAAATACATTTAAGTCATCTATCTGATGTTCCTGTCTCGAGAAATTGATATTAAACTGTGTCAAAATTATACAAAACATATATATATATATATCTGATTGTGTATAAGAGTTGTAGTAGTAAACAGATGATTTTCAACAAATACGTTACCAATCTGAAAACAACGATATCCCTCAGGACCCTGAGAATCTTAGATTTGGTCCTATTAAAAAATTTTAATTTTTATTTTGCATTTTTTTAGATAATATTGATCATATTATTACATTTAGTCCGTATAGTCCGTATTACGTCACCAGAACTTCAGCCAATGGCAGTGCAGCACTGCAGTATACTTGATTTCCGTCTGTATCACGTGAACAGTATACTGTACTGCCATTGGCTGAAGTTCTGGTGACGTAACACGGAATATTCGGACTCTATGTAAGAATATTATCAATTGTATCTATTAAAAATGCAAAAAAAATATAACCGGCGCAAATCTGAGGCTCATGTTGGATATAATCGTTTTCATATTGGTTTCGTATTTACTGAATATGATCTGCTTAAAAACTACAATTCTTATACAAAATCTGATATATATACGTTTTGGTATTATTTTGACACAATTTTATATCAATTTCTCGAGACAAGAACATCAGATAGATGGCTTATATGTATCGTTCAACGTCTGAGATTCTATACCCCCTTTCATTTTTCTTTTACAGTCCCTTTAAACAGCTTTTTAAAAGTTGAATCTTCAGCATATTTGTAACAATCTGAAGTTGGTCAAATATAGTAAAACTATATAATTATAACTTAAACATTTTTAATGTTAGATTTTTCACGCCCTCCCCCTTCCCCAATATACCTCTTTACCCCGGCTTGTAAATGGTTAAAATTGATTAATTTTGAATTGTGAAATCGTAACTTTATCCTGACTGTTAATATCTTATCTCCTTTCCAAGAAGATTGATTAGAATTCCTTTATAAAAGCTATTAAACATAAATTTGAATATTTTTATAATGCAGAATTTGATTTTTTCTGCGTTTACTTGACACGAGAAAATTATTGTAAACTTGGCTGTAATAAGTTAGGCTTTTAGGTAGGCCTTATTTGCATAAATTATATTAAAAATGTAAAATTTAGCGGATTTTTCCGATTTTTTTGGTGGATTTCCAAAATTGTAAAGATACATTAAGAAATATTGTTTATAGATCTGATTAACAAGTGCCTGACTAGTGGGCTGGATATAGTTGCATTCATCATAGTAGGTAATATCTTCATTTTAATGAAAAAAATTGAATGTTAAACTAAATCTATTCTCCAACCCCCCTCCCCCCCTCCCGTTTGTTGTAGGCCTGGGTAAATTTCCGCCCGTAAACGGTGAAATTGCCGTTTATTTGTTATGCCCAATCTGAATAATTCAAATAATCAGAATTTTTTTTAATTCAAGGTTTTTGTATTAAATTAGAAAGATAAGTCGTCGTCGCATATATTAATACAACGAAGACGACTTTCGGTTTGAATGTTGATTTATATCAAATTTTAAACAGCATGAGCTGAAAACTTTAGAATGAAATATCCAGATATCCCGTCGAATAATTAATCTGAAGATTAAAGTCATGAGTTTTCCAAGCAATATTTAATCTCGAGATTAAGAAAAAGAGTGGATTAAGCCTTAATCCTGATATCCACCATTCTAAAGTTTTCAGCTCTGGATACATAGAAACATGGAAACAAAGAAAAGCTGTCAATTTAGAAAGGTTCTTCTAATTACTTGTAAACTTATAATTCGAACAAAGCTTGTAAACAAAATTTAAATAAAAAAGTTGTCTTAATTGTATTTATATAATTACCGACCACTGTAGCATATTTTAAACGGGTTGGGTTGGGTCTAACGGCATTGACCGTTAACGGAAAGTTGTACTTGATTGATGTTAAAGTGAATATGTGAAAGTTAACGGTAAGTTGTACTTGATTGATGTTAAAGTGAATATGTGAAAGTTAACGGTAAGTTGTACTTGATTGATGTTAAAGTGAATATGTGAAAATTAAGTTGTACTTGATTGATGTTAAAGTGAATATGTGAAAGTTAACGGTAAGTTGTACTTGATTGATGTTAAAGTGAATATGTGAAAATTAACGGAAAGTTGTACTTGATTGATGTTAAAGTGAATATATGAAAGTTAACGGAAAGTTGTACTTGATTGATGTTTAAGTGAATATGTGAAAGTTAATGGAAAGTTGTAGTTGATTGATGTTTAAGTGAATAGTGAATATGTAAAAGTTAACGGAAGGTTGTACTTGATTGATTTTTAAGTGTATCAGTGAAAGTTAACGGAAAGTTGTACTTGATTGATGTTAAAGTGAATATGTAAAAGTTAACGGTAAGTTGTAGTTGATTGATGTTAAAGTGAATATGTGAAAGTTAACAACTTGTGGAAATGTTTGATTCTGAAATCCACCTTAAGTCTGTCAAAGCCGTGGAGCTGCAGAAGGCCTGACCTAACATTAGTTATGAGCATAACATATAAGCATGTAACGGAAATTGTCGAAATTAGTTTTGACGTACAATTGGAGATTGAGATTAAATAGTTATAATTTTGAAATTTCTTGAAATGTATAATGTTGAATAATAATATTATATAATATCATAAAATATTTAACCAAAGCAACAAAAGTGAAAATTTCGTTTTTTACGTTAATAAATCGTGTTGAATTCGTCCCTCTTTCTCTTTGTACTTAATTCGCTAACTCTATTACTTAGAAAAATCAAAATTAGATTATCAATTTTCTGATATAAGAACATGGCCATTTTTGGGTTTAAGGCCATCGTTGTAGATCAGACATGTACTTGTGAAATGGAGGGGGGGGGGGGATTTGATTTTTAATTAAATAATAAAATATTTTAAAAATTGCAATTTTTTTCCGTACCTTAATCAAAATAAACTTATATTGGAAGCTATTAACTAGTCGATTGTTAATTCTTATTTTCTGAACTTACGTCTGATAAACATCTAACGGCTGAGGAATGTTTCAGAATGCATTTTTAATTCTTCAAACACGAAACTGGTTTCATTCTTGCAATAGAAGAATACCATAGCATTTCAAGAAAAATAACTGAACCAGGATGCGTATAATTTGCATCATTTCACAGAAGCATTTTATAACCTTGGGAAAATGATAATCATTTTTGTAAACCAAGTAAATAATAACTTTTTAATTTGTATCTGTTTGTTTTTTCAAAATATTTTTAAAAAATGTTTTAGGTGAAATTTATATTATCTAGGAGCTGTATTATAATTCATATTATCCAGGAACTGTATTATAATTCATATTATCTAGGAGCTGTATTATAATTCATATTATCCAGGAACTGTATTATGATATATGTTATCCTGGAGCTGTATTATAATTCATATTTTTCAGGAGCTGTGTTATAATTTATATTATTCAGGAGCTGTATTATAATTCATATTATCTAGGAGCTGTATTATAATTCATATTATCCAGGAGCTGTAGTATAATTCATATTATCCAGGAGCTGTATTATAATTCATATTATCCTGGAGCTGTATTATAATTCATATTATTCAGGAGCTGTATTATTATTTATACTATCCAGGAGCTGAATTATAATTTATATTATTCATGAGCTTTATTATAATTCATATTATCCAGGAGCTGTATTATTATAATTCATATTATTCAGGAGCTGTATTTGTTGGATTTAAAAACTATGCTGCTCCACATCACTCTGGATTCTTCTGTTCTGATTCTTCCATTAGGTCAATTATTACAAATACTGAATCCTGGTCTTGTTGGTCAGAAAGTTTACATTTTCTTTGAATCAGTGGTTCAAATTTGAACCAACAGTGAATAGTTCAGCCACGCACTCAAATTCTTTAAATTTTGTCTCTTATTTCTATATCTTCTTGAATTGATATCGTTTAAATCTCTCTGTAAAAGTTAAGTAAATAATTTATATTTTTTTATCTAGATTTCCATATCATAACTCAACAGTGCCAACTGAGGTCAATAATATCATCAGGTAATAAACATTTTTTTCTTATTTTCTAAGTTCAGGGTTAATTTTTCAAATCTCAGATGGTTATGAATTATTGATAACCTTGGTTTAAACTGCACCAAATTATGGATAATTTTGGCTAATATTTAATCAGATTTTATTTAATTTTGGTTAGAACTACACAAGAGTATGGATAATTTTGGTTAATATTAAGTCAGATTAAATTTAATTTTGGGTAGAAGTACACCAGATTATAGATAATTTTGGTTAAAGCTACATCAGATTATGGATAGTTTTGGTTAGAATTACACCATATTATGGATAATTTTGGTTAATATTAAATCATATTCTATTTAACTTTGGTTAGAACTGCACAAGAGTATGGATAATTTTGTTTAAAACTACATCAGATGATGAATAGTTTTGGTTAGAACCCCACCAGATTATAGATAATTTCGGTTAGAACTACACCAGATTATGGATAATTTTGGTTAGAACTACACCAGAAAATGGATAATTTTTTTTAGAGCTACACCAGATTATGGATAATTTTGTTTAAGCTACATCAGATTATGGATAATTTTGGTTAGAACTACATCAGCTTATGGATAATTTTGGTTAGAACTACACCAGATTATGGATAATTTTGGTTAAAACCCCACCAGATTATGGATAATTTTGGTTAGAACTACGCCAGATTATGGATAATTTAGGTCAGAACTACATCTCATAATGCATAATTTTGGTTCCAAACTACACAAGAATTTGGATAAATTTGGTTAGAACTGCACCAGATAACGGATAAGTTTTACTTTAACTACACCAGATTATGGATAATTGGTTAGAACTACTCCAGATTAAGGATAATTTTAGCTTGAACTACCCCAGATTATGGAAAACTTTGGTTAAAATTACATCAGCTTTAAGATAATTTAGAACTACATCATATAATGGATAATTGTGGTTAAAACTGAACTAGATTATGGATATTTTTTATAGAACCCCACCAGATTATGGAAAATATTGGTTAAAACTACACCAGATTATGGATAATTTTGGTTAGAACTATACATATTATGGATACTTGGTTAGAACTACACCAGATAATGGATAATTTTGGTTAAAACTACATCAGATTATGGTCAATTTTGGTAAGAACTACACCTGAACGATTTCTTGTAGAACTACATATAAAACTATATATATATTTATATAATATGTATGTATAATAGTACGTATGACGCATGTAATTGTATTAATGAATAAATCATGTCAGACCAAATTTACAATAGACTTATTATCTTTATATATATATATATTCATATCCCCAATATTAGTATGTATTATAGAACCATGCCATGGAAGTTTTTATATTCAACCAGGAGGGTTGCAGATCTTTAGAATTCATGAAGGGGGGGGTCTTTTAAAAATAAAAAATAAGTTCAAACTTTTTTATGCAATGGGTTACGGGGGGAGGAGAATGAAAATGATAGTGCAGTAATTTTATGCACGAATGCGTGTTCAATCTTAATAAATGATGGAACTGTTGTACAAATTTAACATAAAGTTATTATCAATTAATCTAGCATTCTAAAAATTGATTTTTTTCTTAAAGGGAGTGACCGGCTATGTAAGGTAGTTGAACTGAGTATGCAGTGTTGTGGAAAACTTCTTTCGGATTCATTCGAGACATATTAAACTTTTTAAAGATCTGTAAATCCTGAGTTTAAGCGCAATTTCCACGTTCAAAACTCCTACTTTGGGGGTGGATACGTTTTCAGAATTAGTTTTTTTTTTAATTATTAAATAACGACGACATAAAATGTAAAAAAAGTTCTACAATAAACTACAGACGCCATTAAAAAAATTAATCTTATCATCGAAAATAAGTAATCTTGTTCAATTATTAGTTTCTATTTTCTCATTATTCTGGTTTCTCATTATTCACAAAGATTTTCGCAGATTTTCTAGAATTATTATTGAAAAGACGACATTTGAAGAATTTGAAAAAATCTGCGAATAAATTTAAAGAAGATAAGAAATTCAATATAATAATGAAAACGAAATAATCGATTTTAGCATTTATTGACAAATTTCTTATGAGAAATATGTTCCTAACCATCTAATTAGAATACTGTATAATTTTTACTTTATTTTTCGTTGTCGTTATTTAATAATTAGAAAAAAACGAATTCTGAAAACGTATCCACCCCCAAAGTAGGAGTTTTGAACGTCGAATTTGCGCTCAAACTCAGGATTTACAGATCTTTAAAAAGTTTAATGAGTCTCAAATTAATCCAAAAGAAGTTTTCCACAACACTGCATACTCAGTTCAACTACCTAACATAGCCGGTCACTCCCTTTAAGCTAGATTTTTCATAAACGTTTTAAAACTTTATTTTTGAATGCATTTTTGTCCAATAATAACGGTAACTCTATCTGAGAAGTAGGGGGGAAGATATTGTCGTTTTTCTATCTGAAACGTGCTGAATTCTCACAATTTTCTTCCTTGCCATCTGCAACATTAATCCGCATACCACTTTTATAAATCAACCGCACTTGCATATTATAATTTCGGGGGCGTACGGGGCCTGAGTGCACAGGCACGCAGGGAGGGGGGGGGCTCATGTAATATTACATCTGGAGATTTGTTAAAAAGAAAACCTAAGATTTTTTATTTTAGAGGCAGTACTTTTGAAGCTTTTCATTATCTTTGTTTAAATCATTTTGCAAATTTATTTTTTCATTTCTTCAAAGTTCACAAACCTACAAAGAAGTTTAATTAATATAGAATCAATTGAGAGTTTTAAAGTGACTGCAGACATATTTCAATTATGATTCAAAAAAATACCCTTCAAAGCTTTGTTTCATCAAGTATTGCAGTAAATATCCATGTTTCAAATTTTGAAAACTGATTATTTTCATTTTTGGTTTCTCTACAATAGTGACTCATTCATTTCAATTTGTTTTGCGCGCTGACGTGCGCAAAAATTCCCCCCCCCCCTCACAAATGCTCTCTGAGAAAATTATTACAGCAGAAGTATTGTCAAAATATTTTAACGAATGTGTTTGACTTTAGTAAGTTTTAATCCTTATAAACTTTTAAAACACACATTATTAATGGTTTTAATCAGTAAAAATGAGGATTTTAAGAACTGCAATGATGCCGGGATAAAATAAATACAACTATACAGTGGGATCTATAAAACAGGGGAACAGGAAGACGATATTAAAGTAAGTGTCTTACTTGACATGGTAGCTGAGCTGAGAATGCAGCATTGTAGAGATAGCGAAATTTTTAAGAAAGACCTATCATAAATTTTTACGGTGCATATTTGTTTAGCAAGAGTGCAAATTTAATCTTTAAAATCCTCATAGAATGTCCATTTTGGAGGGATGATATTGAGAATGACAGGTCTCAAATGAATCTTCAAAATTTTCGCTACAATACTGCATTCTCAGCTCAACTGTATGGCGGTCTGGAATCTCCAAACTGGGGGGCTTTAAAATCGTTCTCCTGATACTCCTGATGTATTAACATTTAGCATAATTTTATTTTTATTTTAGTGTTAACATTTACCATATTTTTAATTGTATTTATATGGAAACTTTTACTTATTTTAGTTATGGCGTACCTCTTGTTTGTTTGATTGTTCTGCACTGGTTTCTGTTTGCCAGGTTAGTATCTTGATTGTTCTGCACTGGTTTCTGTTTGCCAAGTTAGTGCCTGGATTGTTATGTACTGGTTTCTGTTTGCCAAGTTAGTACCTGGATTGTTTTGTACTGGTTTTTGTTTTCCAGGTTAGTACCTGGATTGTTATGTACTGGTTTCTGTTTGCCAGGTTAGTACCTGGATTGTTTTTTGTTTTCCAGGTTAGTACCTGGATTGTTATGTACTTGTTTCTGTTTGCCAGGTTAGTACCTGGATTGTTATGTACTGGTTTCTGTTTGCCAGGTTAGTACCTGGATTGTTTTGTACTGGTTTTTGTTTTCCAGGTTAGTACCTGGATTGTTATGTACTTGTTTCTGTTTGCCAGGTTAGTACCTTGATTGTTCTGCACTGGTTTCTGTTTGCCAGGTTAGTACTAGGATTGTTCTGGTCTGGTTTCTGTTTGCCAGGTTAGTACCAGGATTGTTATGTACTGGTTTCTGTTTGCCAGGTTAGTACCTTGATTGTTCTGCACTGGTTTCTGTTTGCCAGGTTAGTACTAGGATTGTTCTGGTCTGGTATCTGTTTGCCAGGTTAGTACCAGGATTGTTATGTACTGGTTTCTGCTTGCCAGGTTAGTTCCCGGATTGTTCTCCACTGGTTTCTGTTAATCAGGTTAGTACCTGTATAATTATGTACTGGTTTCTGTTTGCCAGATTAGTACGTGGATTGTTATGTACTGGTTTCTGTTTGCCAGGTTAGTACCTGGATTGTTATGTACTGGTTTCTGTTTGCCAGGTTAATACCTAACAAACATTGTATGATCTCTAATTTTCATTTTAAACCAAAACATTTTACAATTTGGAAAGCGAAACCATTCCAAAAAAGCAAAATATTAGCAACAATTTTCAACGCTTTGTGTTAAATTAAGTTAAAATAAAAATTCGGAAATTTACTTATATTTAATATGTTTTTTTAAAGAAAATTCTGAAAATTTGAACATCCCTGTATTTTGAATGAATGAAAAGTAAAAAATAAGCTTATTTCTCTCTCATTCATGAAATAGACATTTGTAGAGATGGCGTCATTGTAGGATCAATGAAATCCTAAAAAAGAAATCTTTCAATTCAATTTTTATTTCTTCAAGATAAAAGGTTTTTAGTTTAGCTGAGTTTAAATTGCTTCCCCTAATATTCTATTTACATGAATAAATTTAAAGATTTAATCTTCAAGACTCCGAATTTTGATGATTTGTTTATATTGATAAAGTTTTGAAATATTGAACTTCTCAGGTGCATATTGTTTATTAAATGTTGGACGACTATACAACCCAATGAAATATGTTTTGACATCATTAAATTATGATTACGTATGCTTGTGTCATGGCGATATTTAAATTAGACGTCTGATGTTAATAACACGAGGTTGCGTGAAGTTTTAACATTGGACTTCTTGAAAGAATGGATGGAGACTGGAGAGAGGTGTACTTTTTAACCTTGAACTTCTTGTTTAAACGGAAGAAGGATTGGTGGAGTGTAATTTTTGTTTAGGGGTGATGAGGTGTACTTTATAATCTTGAACTTTTTGTTTAGATTGAAGAAGGGGTGGAGAGGTGTACTGTTTGACCTTGAACTTTTTGTTTAGATTGAAGAAGGGGTGGAGAGGTGTACTGTTTGACCTTGAACTTCTTGTTTAGATTGAAGAAGGGGTGGAGAGGTGTACTTTTTGACCTGAAACTACTTGTATTTTTTGGATTAATAACTCAGGTGAATGGTACTAATATATTTTAAATTGTATTATATATAGGCACCACAATCGGCAAATAACATCTATATATAATAAACTCTGAAAAGATTCGTATTGTTCTGATTGTTTTGTTAAGTATGAAAAATATTGAGGAGAATTAAAAAAAGTTCTCACTTTGCTTACATATTTATTTGTACATATTTACTTACATATTTATTTGTACATATTTACTTAATAGTTGTTGTATTAATACAGTGCAATCAATTTTAATTTTAATTCTTTCCGCTTATACTAACTAGAACTAGCAGATTAAAATGTAAATGTAAAATGTAAATTCTATCATTAATAATGTTGCCTGTCAGAGTGCTTTTCTACAGGGTCACCCACAAAGGATGAGACTGTAAAGACGAATTAAAACTCTTACATACAGGACAATTAAATATAGTCTATTGGTGGCCTATTTTATGATTTGACAAAGAAAAAAATATGTTTACACGTAATCATAACAACAGGGAAATTAATTCTGTACAATCGTCTCAAATGTCTCTTCCTTTGTGGGAACCCTGTATATTATCTCTATTATCTTTGGGAACCCTGTAATTATCTCTATTATCTGTGGGAACACTGTATATTATCTCTATTATCTGTGGGAAACCTGTATATTACCTCTATTATCTGTAGGAACCCCGTATATTATCTCTATTATCTGTGGGAACCCTGTATATTATCTCTATTATCTGTGGGAACACTGTATATTATCTCGATTATCTGTGGGAAACCTGTATATTATCTCTATTATCTAAGGGAACCCTGTATAATATCTCTATTATTTATGGGAACCCTGTATATTATCTCTTATCTGTGGGAACCCTGTATATTATCTCGATTATCTGTGGGAACCCTGTATATTATCTCGATTATCTGTGGGAACCCTTTATATTATATCGATTATCTGTGGGAAACCTGTATATTATCTTTATTATCTCTATTATCTGTGCTTTGTATGCAGTTTCCATTATCTAGCATTAATAAAGTTTAAGCCTCTAACCCTGCAATCTGCAATTTAAAAAAAAAAAAAATTTCAAATACAATTCTATGTGAAGGAAAGATGGAAGGTATGATTAATTCCCAGTGGAAGCTTCACTCTGTTCCCCTAAGGGCTTGAAGGAAATTTGAAAAAAATGTAACTCTGAATTTGTCTTTAAGTGTTAAAATTACAATTTTAAAATAATTTTTAGACAACTACGCAGATCCTGAAAATTGCAGTTGGTCGTCTTCGTCCTCATTTCTTAGGAAAACAGACAATTATTTTCTTATACTTCTTACACTCAACTCATGTACATTTGAATCTGAGCTGAATCGTCTGGTACACCAACTACAGTAGGCAGGGCTAGCTGGTGCAACCTAGGTTGACACACTCAGGATTTAGTTCTACATCTGGTTAAATTTACAATCACTAACGCGGCAATTTTACTTTATCTAATAAACTGCATGTTCTAAGAAAATAATAATAAAAACTTTCGATGTTTGAACAATCGATAGATATTCTTGATCCAAAAAAAAATGGGAATAAATCCAGAATTTAAGATTTTAAGGATGTACAAAGCAAAGCAAAAAATTCCTGAAGAAATTCCGAGTCGAGCATTTTTAAAGTTGTTTTCCTGAGATGTTTTAAAGTTGTTTTTCGTTCAGTTTCAATAGTTTAGGTTTTATTTATCAAAATTGAAATCTGAACTAAAATTCTTAATATATTGGGTAAAATTGAAAGCACAAAAAAGGCAGACCACATTTTGGAAATGCTAGAACTGCTAGTGTTGTGGTTATGGTTTCAAGAATCATACATGTTAAAGTAGGTTGACGACTGAATGTCAAAAGTAAAATCAAAGATGTAAGACGACTTTTATGTCGTTTTGCTGCCATCTTGTTTCGTGGTACACATACATAAAAAAAAATTTAAAAACACTGGTTTAATTCTTCTTCGTTTTTACTTTTCATCTTTAAAACATGATTGAAACCTTTAATTCAGGTGAACAATATCAACTACAGATACTCAAGTAACAATATCAACTACAGATACTTAAGTAACAATATCAACTACAGATACTCAAGTAACAATATCAACTACAGATACTCAAGTAACAATATCAACTACAGATACTCAAGTGACAATATCAACTACAGATACGCAAGTAACAATATCAACATATCAACTACAGATACCCAAGTAACAATATCAACTACAGATACTCAAGTAACAATATCAACTACAGATACTCAAGTGACAATATCAACTACAGATACCAAAGTAACAATATCAACTACAGATGCTCAAGTAACAATATCAACTACAGATACTCAAGTTACAATATCAACCTTAGATAATCAAGTTATTCGAATTTTTAGAATTTTTATCATCTCTTGAATAATTGATGTGTTTGTATCTGCAGATGTTTGTGCAGTAAACTTGGATTTAGACGATACAGTTTGTGGATCTATAAACAATCCTACTTATGTCAGCAATTACAGGTTTTTACACTATTTAATCAATCATTCAAATTATGACGTGTTTTATTAATTGATTTAGTCTATAAAAGCGCACATAGAAGAATAGTCTCTCAATTATCATATGTTTAGTAATACTGTATCTAAATTTTTCCAATTTTAGTTAGATTGATTAAGGTGTACTTAGTAATATTTGGATATATTTTACCAAAGTCACTTAGCATATTTTTAGTTTAATAAATTTAATCTAGAGTTCTGTAGTTTTTGTATCATCATTTTAGAACCTGAACTACATACGGTGATAACCAGAAAACTAGAGAATAGGAAGACGACATTAAAGCAATTATGAGGTGCACTTGATGTTGTTTTTTAGTAAGTTATTAATAACTTATTAAGTAAAATGGGTCTCTTTACAATGCTAAATTTCTGTGTCTCATGTTTATTAAACTACTTAAAGTCATATCTTTAAAAGTCGACTTTCTTTTCCAGAGTTTTCTGATTGTCAACTTATCACTTTTGATTTCAGAGTAACTAAAAAGTATTGGTTATATTTCTAGTGCCTAGGTTTAGTTTATAGCAGCGAGAGTTCAAACATTAAAAAAATATTATATACATAGTAAATACAATACATTAGTCAGGCCTTATCTAGCCGATCAGGGCTATAAATGATTATAAGGGTTATAGATGATACCTTTACAAAAAAAATTACATTTACATGTAACAGAATAGGGGGGAATGCATATTGACTCGCATTAATATTTTTTTATTTTTGTATATGTATGTATAAACTTTTTTAATTAAACCCTAAAACTACATAGCAGAGGACCCATTAGGGCGCATTAGTATTTTTTTATTTTTGTTAATGTATAAACTTTTTTTAAAAGCAAAAAGTTTTACCAGTGCAGTGGCTGGAAAATAATTTTTTTAAGTGTTATGGGTGTGTATTGTACACAATTGTTGTGTTTTTTGTTTATTGGACTATTTAAAATTATAACTTGAGTTGAGTTCAAAAGTCGTCTTCACAATTCACAGTATTAATTTATTTAGTTGTATCGGAAACCCTGAATTGTTCCCAGAAAGTAAAGAATATCTAAAAAATAGGTAATTAAGTATCTAATTAATTATCTGCATGTTTGATTAATTAATGTAAATGGTTTGATGATATGTTTGTTATATTTAGGGCCGTGCATTGTAAGGGCAATGATGGTAAAAATTATTATATTGATATCCATAACAACAGAGACACAGGAAAATAAGCTTTTGTCAAACCAATACGATTTTTGTGTTTTGGCAGCCTAATGAACTTAGAACTTGTACAGAAAAGTCCTCCAGCTACAGTTAAAGTTTTTCGCTATTTTTGCGCACTGCAAATGGAAACCTTACATTTAAACCCTAAATAATAAATACATCGAATGAATTAATCAAATGTCGTATTTTTAATTATGGAATGTTGCAGATATTGAGTTTTTTAATTAAATGATTTTATGGAGCTCTTTAAAACTGTTCCCGCATATTCATGGCAATTTATTTATTTTCGCAAATACCGAGATATACGTTAAATAGTATAAAACCCATTGAAAAATTGTCAAGATGACATTTGATAAAATCTTACGATGTATGGCTTGTTTGGGGTTTAACTGTAGATAGAAAGTACATAGATAGCCATTATATGCTGGGGCGGTTAAAACAATAATCTGTGCCGAGCGCTGCTAATTATTGTTTAATTTTAGGATAAAGGAGGCGCGCCTTTCTTTCCCTTCAGGTAATATTATAACTGATCTTATTTTAACAAAGGAATATTAAATGAACTCTAGACGTAATTTCAAATAGCTTTCCAATTTATGAGCGACATTTCTTATTCACAACGGTACCCTTGACATCTCTTTCTGAGTAATATTATTGAAAACTTTGTTTTTCTACAGTTTAACCAGAACTTTAAAAACATCGAAAGATTTTATAAAATGTCGTCTTGTCAATTTTTCAATGGGTTTTTAACTATTAGACCTAAAACTCAATAATTGTTAAAATAAACCAATGTTGAAATATTATCTTCTATAGTGAATACTTGCATTTCAAAACAAGCCTTTAGATTTTTTTTATTACAGGGCATTCAAGTCTTGCTTTCTATGGGATGACTCTGACAATCTTCATTCTCCACAGGAGCAAGCTGACCTCTCTTCCAGTCCAACTAGTCCAGGTATATAAGCTGACCCCTCTTCTAGTCCACGTATATAAGCTAGCCTCTCTTCTAGTCCAGCTAGTCCAGGTATACAAGCTGACCTCTCTTCTAGTCCAGGTATATAAATAAGCTGACTTCTCTTCTAGTCCAGGTATACAAGCTGACCTCTCTTCTAGTCCAGCTATTCCAGGTATACAAGCTGATAAAATGGCGGATTTCCAAAACTTTTCTATTTGGACCCGCCATAAATCTTCCCTTGGGTCATCCACTTTTAGCCGTTTAACATTTGACAAACAGACAAACAAAATATATTGATGTAAAGATTATCGGCAGTTATTAATCTAGGCTAGTTGTTTACTTTACGCCATGTTCACTGCTGTTTCAAGAGTAACAGATAACAAGCATCATCCAGGTCATTTTCTCAACTTTTTTTTAAATTTTATTCTAAACTAAAATGAATTCACAATAAGAATTTATAACCAATATTTATTTCCTTAAATCTTTTATCATTTACAACTACTTTATAGGGATGTTATGGGAATTTTAATTTTAACAATGGTTTTCAAGATCAATTTTAGCGAGGGATGTTTTGTTGGCAAAATTGGTAAAGGGAACCCGGGGTTATGGAAAAAATTGTATTTCCTGTAAACGTAGTTGTACACAATTTTATCGTCTTTAGATGAAAATGAAATCAAAAATTTTGCAAAGCGGTTCGTTATTTTACTTAATTTCCCAAGGGACGTACAGTAACTTAACGTCCTTTTAAAAAAGTTGCCCATTTTACCCCTATTTACCAAAAAAATTATATTGCATCCGGTTCACTCAAAACATGAATCCTGCCAACATATGTTTACAGTGTTTAGAGTAATACAATGCTAATCCAGGAGATGTGATCGCGGGAAGTATTCTGGGGGCAATCTTTGCCCTTGCTGCTGCATATCAAATGCCGAGAAGAAATGCGGGAGATATTTGTGAAAAATCTACGAATACGGAAATGGAGTTGATTACTAATAATACTCTAATGGAAACAGACGTGTCTGCAAGCTCTATCTCAAACCTAAAGATGCAAATTTCCTAACCTATATTTGGCAAGAACAGGATAAACTGTATATTCATTTTTATATAAAAATCCATGACATAGGAATGAAATATTACAGTTTTGTTCAGTGCTTAGGATCTACAAGATTTTGACTTCCTGGATCCGGATCCGGATTCGCAAAAATATGCGGATCCACGGATCGATCCAAGGGGTAAAATATCAACCAAAACTGCAAAACAAAACTTTTTTACTCCTAAAACACCAAATTTAAACTTTTGAAAAAGCGAGATTATAAAAATTTCCTCATTTCTGATTGGATTAAATTTTAGGATAAAAATAAGCGGAAAAAAAACAAAAAAAATTGAAAATTATTTTTTGTTAAGAAAATTCAGTAAATCTTATAGAAATAACCTGGATCCGGATCCATTTTTTTCTAGTGCGAATTCAGGATCCGATTCCGCATCAAAATTAAATGGATCCTAAGCACTGGTTTTTTATTCACATTATATTATTTTCAATATTGATAATATTATATACTCAGGGTGTACTTAAGAATGTATGACACTTAAGTTTTGTAAAAAAAAAAACATATCATATTTTTTGTTCTCAACCTTTACCATTTTTAAAGACTGAATAAGAATGTCAATTACCCCTCATGTATCACTTATAAATACAGACAAATTTTGATTTATCATTTCTATTTTAACAATAATAACTATTAAGCATGAAAACTGTTTGGTCTCCGTAATATTTTGTTGACATAAATAATTTTTTTGATGGGCAAAAACCCTGTAAATGATTTTTCAGAAAAATGTATTACTTTAAATTAACACTTTTTATCAATTAAAAATCCAATTGTGTAGCTTGTAAAATAATTATGCCTCTAGAGCGCCTTATGTACTTAGGGTTCCACTAAGCAAAGAATTCAATATTGATATTGTAAAAATTCATCTTACTTAAATATATTTAATTTTCAATAATGAGATTCTTATGTATTGTGACATCCTGCATATTTTAACTATCCTACCTCAGAATTACGCAATAAATTACATATTAAAATAATGAAATAGAAATATTGCCAGAAATATCTGTTAGATTTTTCAGAATTAACTATGTCTGATTTAACCATTTTAATGAAAGCTACAAACTTCGCAGCAATAAAACACAAGGTATTTGTTATATTATTATTATTATTATTATTATTATTTTTATTTTAACCATTGTTATTCTCAGTAGCAGTAGCAGTAGCAGTAGCAGTAAGATTATTATCAGTAAGATTGTTATCAGTAAGATTGTTATCAGTAAGATTGTTATCAGTAAGATTGTTATCAGTAAGATTATTATCAGTAAGATTGTTATCAGTAAGATTGTTATTAGTAAGATTATTATCAGTAAGATTATTATCAGTAAGATTGTTATCAGTAAGATTGTTATCAGTAAGTTTATTATCAGTAAGTTTATTATCAGTAAGATTAGTAGCAGTAAGATAATTAGTAAGATAATTATCTTTAAGATTATTTAATAAATATTCCAGGATCAACGACGAAAGGATACTGAGGGTACGCCATACATAAACCATCCTATTGGTGTAGCTAATTATCTTACTCAGGTATATAATATGTACATTGGTTTGTACTGTGTACACTGTACTGAAACCACAGTGTACCCAGCTAGTCGGGTTAAGATACATAAATTAGTCTGTTATTAAATGTTGATAAATTAATTAGAATTAACTGTTTTCTTTATTCTGTGTTCTGGTTCAATCATTGGCTTATATTAGTATCTTTATTTTTTAGGCTGGTGTCACAGATTTGGACGTGATTCAGGTAATACATTTTATAACATAGAAAATCATATGTTTTGTAAACATAATAAGTAAAAAGATGACATTTATTTTAACCAAATTTTGAGAAAAATTAACTTGGTAGGTTGATTGCAGAATTTTAGAAATTGATTAACCAAATATGGAAATATTTGAGTGAATAGGAAGGAATTGATCAGTCTAATTTTTCCGTAAAAGGAAGTTTAGCAATCTTCTTTTTCTTTAATGAAACTGATCAGATTTATTGACCACTTCCTATTTGTTCTTGAAACGCTGTGCTGGAGTGGTTCAAAATTGGCTGAATTTATGGGTTAAAGCCAGAAATTGGACCCAACTGAAATAAAACCGCACCTAATAATTTCCAACTCAGAGTTGAGAACTTATATACAGAAGCAATAATTGAATTTATATTATGCTTGGTGGGGGAAAGGCGATTTTTTAATAGTTTATGAATTCTTACCTTATTTGAACTCGTTGTACACAAGAGGATACAGGGTGTGTTAACTGTTTAGGCAGCCCTGCTGCATGATACAGTTGAGGATACAGGGTGTGTTAACAGTTTAGGCAGCCCTGCTGCATGTTACAGTAGAGGATACAGGGTGTGTGAATTGTCTAGGCAGCCCTTATGCATGATACATTAGAGGATACAGGGTGTGTTGACTGTTAAGGCAGCCCTTCTGCATGATACAGTAAAGAATAAAGAGTGTGTTAACTGTTTAGGCAGCCCTTCTGCATGATACAGTAGAGGATACAGGGTGTGTTAATTGTCAAGGCAGCCCTGCTGCATGATACAGTAGAGGACACAGGGTTTTAATTGTCAAGGCAGCCCTGCTGCATGGTACAGTAGAGGATACAGGCTGTGTTAATTGTCAAGGCAGCCCTGCTGCATGATACAGAAGAGGATACAGGGTGTTAATTGTTTAGGCAGCTCTGCTGCATGGTACAGTAGAGGAAACAGGGTGTGTTAATTGTCAAGGCAGCTCTGCTGCATGATACAGTAGAGGATACAGGGTGTGTTAATTTTTTAGGCAGCCCTGCTGCATGATACAGTAGAGAATAAAGAGTGTGTTAATTGTCTAGGCAGCCCTTCTGCATGATACAGTAGAGAATAAAGAGTGTGTTAATTGTCTAGGCAGCCCTGCTGCATGATGCAGTAGAGGACACAGGGTTTTAATTGTCAAGGCAGCCCTGCTGCATGGTACAGTAGAGGATACAGGGTGTTAATTGTTTAGGCAGCTCTGCTGCATGGTACAGTAGAGGATACAGGGTGTGTTAATTGTCAAGGCAGCCCTGCTGCATGATACAGTAGAGGATACAGGGTGTTAATTATTTAGGCAGCTCTGCTGCATGGTACAGTAGAGGAAACAGGGTGTGTTAACTGTCAAGGCAGCTCTGCTGCATGATACAGTAGAGGATACAGGGTGTGTTAATTTTTTAGGCAGCCCTGCTGCATGATACAGTAGAGAATAAAGAGTGTGTTAATTGTCTAGGCAGCCCTGCTGCATGATACAGTAGAGGATACAGAAACTACCTTGGAGGAACTTAAAATACATTTTGGAGAAAAGGTATTCTTTATTCTTTACACATCTTTTAACTTTCATTTCATATTTTTCTTACAAAAATAAAACTTTCTCTAAATATCTCTCTTAGTTTATTAAAAAATATTAATGAAAATGTTTGTAAATATCGTAAATAATTTGTTTTGATCATTTTTCCTCTTCCAGGTTGCTAGTATTGTGGCAGAAGTGACTGATGAAAAGGGACAAGGTACCTTAAAGAAAATGTAATAGGAGTTTGAACAGTTTATATTCTTTTTTTTATTATTGTTAGAAAAGCATGAAAGAAAACGGCTTCAGATAATTCACGCCAGACACGCATCAAAAGAGGTAGAAATAAAGTTGAAGCAGTTTTATAGGTCGGTGGGAGGGGGGGGGGCGGGGCGCCTCATAG